TTTGATTCATTTGCAAAAAAAGGTGTTGTATTTGTTTGGATTTCGGTTTCCTCTTTTGATTATTAAATATCAAGCATCATATCGCCCGCTGCTGGTTATTATGATTATGACGCATTCAGCGTTTATCGTTTGCCGATAATTTCGCGTCCCAAAAGTTAGCGTTATCTTCATTACGTTTCCTTTTCAGTAAGGTGAAGTTTTCCTTAATTGGATTAATGTTCTGTGCCACACTGGAAAACTGGAGTCTGAGGAGGGCATTCCGTGATTTGTTCTTGTGACAGTTCAGTGTTGTTGTGCGATAAGTGTCGATTATCTGGCGTCTGGGATTACATTAATATGCATGGTTTTAATTGGTGAAATATCTCAATTTGTGTAACATGCTACTTTTGAGTAGGTATTAATTATTACTGCGCTTGGAAAAGTACAGGGTTTCAAGGTTTCCTAAAGGTCACACCCCATATTTTTTTTTCCTAAAATATACCCAATAAACATGCTTTTGATGCAGCACATTTCATAAAATATGAGAGGTGGGGGAAGGAGCACATCTCTTTAAGGACTTGAATGCAACGTCGGTTTAGGTTAACAGATTTTCACATAATTGGTCTTATTGGAAGCAGAGTTGGACTGGGTCAAGCATAGAGTGACCCAGTGACCTGGTGACCCAGTTAGTTTACTGACCCAGTGACCCGGTGACCCAGTGACCCAGTTGACCCGGTGACCCAGCTTGACCCGGTGACCCAGCTTGACCCGGTGACCCAGCTTGACCCAATGACTCGGTTTGACCCGGTGACCCAGCTTGACCCAGTGACCCAGTTTGACCCTGTGGCCCAGCTTGACCCAGTGACCCTCTTGACCCGGTGGTCCAGTTTAAACCGTTGACCCCTAAGTTGATCCAGTTGAATCCGGTGACCCGGTAATTAAATTATTGTTAAGTATCCGGAAAATCTTAAGGTTAATTGTTATTCAAATTTATAGCATTAGGTTTGTATTGGTATTTAAATTTTGTCATCCAAAACAATTTCAAGTAACTTTTAATTTTAAAAAAACTTCCTCAATAATATTCGACAACAAGCACTTAGCCCAATTTCATTCAAGAGAACTAATACCTAAAAAATCAAACGCATTTGTTTATAGTTTGTAGTCGAGTAGAAGAAAATTACATGTGAATGAACACCAGTAAGCAACTGGTAAGCCCTGAAGCAAAGAAATGAAGGAGGGAACTGTTTAGAAATAACATTACTATAATATAATTCGGGACATGGAAAGTTTTTTACGGCAGTATTAAAGCAAGCATCACAGAAATGGCAGTTGTCAAGCAATCGAGTATTATTCTCAACAAACCAGCAGTTTCATTTATTTCATAATCTGTACACTTGAACCGAGGTCACTGACTTAACTGCGTTATTCGATCAAACTAGGGTACTGGGTCAAATTGGGTTCCCGGGTGAAATTGGGTCGCTGGGCCAAACTGGGTCACTGGGTCAAACCGGGTCACTGGGTCAAACTGGGTCACTGGGTCTAACTGAAGAGAGTATGACGTGACCCAGTGACCCAGTTTAATTCAGTGACCCAGGTGACCCAGTTGACCCAGTGACCCAGTCCAACTCTGATTGGAAGGAGCTTCGTGTAATCAGATCTTACATGTATAGTCTTTTTAGTAAATGTAATGAAAAACCATTAAATGGTATTAATTTAAAAATGCAAAAATTATTGTGCTTTGTGGATTTTTACCCAAAATTTCATCTTCTTCTACAATATATAAAAATGGCGTTTTTTTACTATAATATCTTGATACTCCAACGCTGAATTGTTACTTCTGATACTCAGAAAAAAGCTGCTTAATATTTGACAATTTTACGATTTTCGTAAAATCCAATAATACGAAATTTAGCAATAGTGCCGACTTTAACACATTGTATGTGCCATAGATTTAAATTCTGTGATACTGCTGTGTACTCATTTAAATTTAATTCTTATATAATTTGAATCCTTTTCTGTTTATACAAATTTGACTTCTTTATAATTGCACACATTTTTTGTAGTAGAAAAAGAAATATGTGTGAGTTTTGTTAGTCCATCATTTCATCCTAATCAACTTTTAAATTACACAGTCCTCAAATATGTGTTAGATGGCCTTTACACTTTTCTGTTCAGACGGGGGGAGGAGGGAGGCACCCATGAAATATTTTTTGAGATGCTATTTTGGCAAATAAAATGTCGATAACTTTTGCACGTCACTCCCAATTTGTGTTACGTATGCGTATGCGATCACGATCACTACACCACCCAAAAACACCCGTCCAGGTAGCTCAAAACAAATCAAAATTAAAACTCTCATCGTACAAATCCGGTAAAAATCGTAATATTAACTTGAGAAATTCGGTTGCCTCAATCAACTTCCGGCAATTCCAAAGAATTAACTGCACACATTTTCATTAACACTTGACTTAATTCTTGGACATGGAAACAAATATCTGACATGAAAAACTCTATCCCAATTGGTTTGAATAAAAACACAATTAATGGATTGACTTTGACGGCACACAAAAAAAACAAAGGTTGTAAACTGTTTCAACAGGATGGTGCACCCGCGCACAACGCCCTAATCGTACGAGAATACATATCGGACAAATTTCCTGGAAAATGTTATTCTCGCACGCAGTTTCCAACTTGGATTTTTAATTTTTTTGTATCTGTCCAAATAGGTCACATCAGGAAAAAATAAAAACGAAATCGGCAACTTTCGGTTTTTTTGGCATATTTTTGGAAGTAGCGGAATTTTTTGATTTTATTTAAAGCGTGATACTGATAATAACTGACCAACCAGTAATGGTTCTAGCTTCAATCCAAGTAATAATAATAATATATAATTGACGGACAGTATCCATTATAAAAATGACTAATAACTTAACAATACAATTTACGTCCCAGTCCTCTCCGGAACTTCGAAAATGGTACCTATACTAAACAGGTTAATATTAAGGTAGTGTTTACATTGAAATATGGCAAATTTGTTTGCACAATAACTGCGTTTTGGATCAAAATTTTTGTGGGGAATAACATTCATTCATATATAATGTTACGACATTTGCATGAAAATGATTTAGCTAACTCCTGCACTTTCGCCCTTATTTAGGAAATAAGATCTTAAAAAACTGCCATATAAAATACAATCTTTCATTTTTATTACACACTGATGATAATTTGTTACCAAATTTAACTTCATTCACAAGCTAAAACCTTTAGCAACCATCGGTCGTTAACAGCAGTTCATCATTTTACCTTGAAACAAAGTTATTGAGGAAATCGCAAGGTAACTTTTCCACTTTTACAGTCTTTATTATTAGTAGATGTGATGTAAACATCCCCCAAAACTCTAAGACAGACGATATGTCAATAGCAGGGCGTTTGCCTGTTTGAGTCTGTTTTTAATAAATTTATTTACTAACGCGAGACGATAAAGAGCTTGTTTTCGTACAATTTCCGATAAAAATTATTTCTGGGCCATCCGCTCTCGGATAAAAGGTTGTACGTACCTATACCGCGCAATGTTTACCTACTGAGGATGCCCCAAAAACCTCCGAACGGCGAATGTATACCTACTGCTGTAAATGAACGTTCTATTGCACAGTAGTTATAACATTAGTCATAATTTGACTCACTTATGCTCCAAAAATACTCACTAGAATTAGAGAACGATTTTGAATTTTCCTTCAGTCGCGGTATTACATCGTTTACAACACCAAGCTGAAAATCTTTGAATGCAAACAAGAAACCAATAAATATCATCCGAAAAAGTTCCTTATCCTTAACACGGATGATCGAAAGTTATAAGGTGATATCTTACACGCTTTATCAACATGGCCGCCTACCCTACGTAAAGCAAAAGGAGAATTGAGAAAAATACTATTGGTCAATAATACACTAATTGCGATGGAAAACTATTGAACAAAGGACAAACTGATGGTGGTGGTGCAAAAATATTATGATTTAAAACTAGTCTATACTTGCTTTGGATGTACCTATTGAATGTTTATGAAATTTAGCAAAAACGTCCTTGTTGACAGTTTTATTACATTGAACGGCTGCAACTCTTATATTTGAAGATTTCACAAGATTATGCTTTACGTTTACTATAAATCTTTGCTTTAAGTCTAGATGCAATCGCCTTGTGCTCTAATAGATTACGTTCTAAAATAGCACTTACTTAACTCTTTTCCTCCATAAAATAAGGATTACAGCAGCTATTTCCGTGTTAATAACACCGTATCCGCAAAACCCCTTTATAAGATAAATCAGAAACGAGCTTTAAATTAAAAAGTTACATTACTGAAATAGCTTAATACCCGAATGCAAAATAAAGCAAGAGCGTAGCTGAAGTGCAAATATTTTTAATTAAAGTGAGTAAAAAAGAAATTGAATGAAATTATGAAACTTCCGTCGTTGTAGGCGAGTTTTGAATGAAAATAACCACATCCTCGGCCGACTTTATATGAACTTTGCTGACAGTTTGCCAGATAACAAATTTTGATAAAAATACACCTACGGTTGAGTTTTAAATTTGTCGTACACTCTAGCTGTAGGTAAATACGGGAGACACTTATATTTATTTCCAACGGTATTTCATAAACGTTTTTATGACAAATGCTTTAACCGTTCAAAATTTATGTTAAAAATACGAATTTGTATGTATGTCAGATTTTAAGCGTCGCTGCTGTATTGTTTTCGTTGGAAGTTGGCGATCTTCCAAAGGACTTTGCTATACAAATGACCTTAATAACTGGAGTTAATTAATTATCAGTTTCTAAATGAATTTGTCACTTACAACCTTTTGGGTTACGAAAATATCGATTTCCCTTTCTGAATGGAAAACGTAAATTTTATGTACTGCTTTAAAACTCGTTATTAGCCATAACCATTACTAAACCGCCTCATTTGTACACTAAACAATCGCTTGGTTATGGTGTTTTATAATCTTTTCTAAAAGATTACTCTTGCAGGCGTGTGGTCACCTGGTCAAAAGAGTGCGGAAGAGAAACCGAAGGAAGTTGCTGAGCGCCAGCAAGGAGAAGATGAGCCGATTCCATCGGTTTGGCAACCACGTAGCGCAGGCGCCAGTCCAACGGCCGAAAGGAAGGAATTCAAACCGGTCAGTTTCGACTCGCCAACATTAAGGAGAAAAAATCAACCGGCGGAAAAGGTAAATTGCATATCCTATTGAAATGCTTTGAACATCTATAGATACAGTATTTGAGATCACACATATTGAAAGGTGTAATGTAATGTTTTTTGACACAACTGTAGAAGATACTCTGTCATATTGAATAAATTAAACAAATATATCAAACGAGCTCCTGGGTATGGCTATAGCATGTGTAAAACCAAATTTCAAATCTGATGTTAGTTTTGCTTTTATATATTTAAAGTGTATATGTATGAAATTTCATTTAATTGCTTCCATAAATAAGAAAGTTGGCACTGCACATCCTACACAAAACCAAACTTGGAAAATGACGCTACATTTGCTTTTATTCAAAGTGGCTATGTACCAAATTTCATTTAAATCCCTCCATTAATAAGAAAGTTGGCACTGCGCATGCGCAAAACCAAATTTTGAAGCTGGCGTTAAATTTGCTTTATTCAAAGTGCTTATCTATCAAATTTCATTTAAATACCTTCATAAATAAGAACGTTTGCAATTCGGTCTGTAAACGGTCGAGATGCGCAAAGGGCACTGTGAATGCTGATCGATTAGGCTCAAATTTTGGAATTGTGTTTTATATGGCTAAAGCTATGCGCATATTGAATTTCATGCAATTCGGTTCATAACTAACGGAAATGTTAAAAGGGCCTACTTTATTTTTTGGTCTACATAGCCAATTCACGAATTCCGATCTACAACTTTGATAAAGAATCCACTTGCAAAATGTCATCGTAATCGGTCCATTCGTTTATGAGTTATCGTGCTAACGGACGGACGGACGGACGGACACCGTAAAATTATAAACTCGCTAGGAGCTCGTTAATAATGCGACACTAAGTATTGGGAATAAAGGGATAAGATTTTGCATATACATATGTACAATTGCAATGTTAGTGGATTATAAATTTGAACATGAACAACTGTGGCTTTTTGTCTTATTAATGTAACCTCACTTCAACGAAACATTATACTCAGAAATACGAAGATATAGAAATCTTTCACCTATTAAGCGATCCGCGGTAGAGGTCGAATTGTTTCGCGGGAAGGTATTTGTCCTCGTGTTAAGGCGGAAACACATTACTGTCACGTCACGTGAGCTCACGTGCTATCACGTAAACTCACGTTACCTGCGCAAAATGTGCAACTCCACTGACGTATAGAAGTTTATGAGGTTTATGTCTTTAGAATCATACTACTGTCACCTCACGCATTCACGACGTGCTGTTCTGATCTCGCATGATATCACGCCTCCATTATCCCGCAAAATTACATTTTGTAGTGGAACGTGACATCACGTCAGGTGTTTTCCGAAGTGGTTTTGTCAAGAAAAGATGGACGAACCTTTAATTAAACTGGTGAGACAGCACGAAGTGCTATACAATCACTCCTCTGCTGAGTACCGGGATCAGAGGGTTCGACAAGAAGCTTGGGAGGAAATTGGTATAATAGTAAAATTCTTCTTTTGTCATTCTGAAATACATCTGCAGGCGGCTTGGATGTCCATTCAATAATTCGTGGACTGATTGACGAAATTCCCCCACTTCTTCTCTTCGATGATTTATGTGGTGAATCCATTATTCCATTAGCCACTGTAAAAGCAGCCACGTTTTCTATATCCTCTTCCTCGTCTGAAGAACTTGACGAAGAAGAATCTCTACTTCGCTTCATCGCTACTAATGACTAAATGCAAATCTTAAATTGCAACGACATTTACCGCGCGACACCGTGAGCGCACACAAGTGTGCCTCCTAGCGTGACATCACGCGAAAGTATGCTTGACGTGATAGCACGTGAGCTCACGTGACGTGACAGTAATGTGTTTCCGCCTTTATTCGTTTCGAGAAATGGCTATTCAAAAGACTATGGAGGCTCCAACACCGATGTCCAATTCGAGGTGAAACTAGCCCCTACACTTTTGAACTTTCAAAATGTATTTATTGCAATCGTTTTTGGCCCTTTGTTGGTGTTTCTTATTTACATTGTGACAAATTAGGAATTTAAAGTGACAAGCTCGGCGTCAAGTTAACGCCGTCATGGTTGAATTTTGGTAAATATGTTTGCAGGAATGCTTTTTTGTTCGTGCGTATTGGTATTTCTGTTACCGGGCGATCAAAAATCGAGTCACCTTTGGAAGTTCAAGTTAAGTACGATTTCCCATGTAAACAAAAATTCCAAAGGTGACTTGGCAGCAACTCATTTTTGATCGCATAGTACCTAACATTTTTGCGTATTTACCTAGTTATTCACATGTATTTGTCAAAAACATTATCCACTAGATGTCCAGATTACACATGTCAACCTCAATTGAAGTAGATACCCTTGATGTGCATGTGGCATAAGACTGAACCATAAAAGATATATGTACTATTCTCTTCTTTTTATTTTTTATTCTTTCCCTGTTTTTTCGCCCTGTGCTTCCCCACCCTATGTTTCCTTTTCACGCGCTTTTTTCTTCTTTTCTCACATCATTTTTTCTTTTTTTTGTATCACTTTTCTTTTTTACTCTATTTCTATATTTCAACTAGATGTTCATAATGACCTGATATATATGTTTTAAAAATAAAAGATGGCTAATATAAATCATATTTTACTTATTATTTTAGAATCATAATTATAAGCAAATAATGAATTATCGTTTACCCGGGTTTACGTAATTACGTTTGACGGTTGTTAGAATTTGAAGGTGATTATAAAATGCCACATTTTCTTAAAAATGCTGTTAACTTTAAGGGCCGATTCTACAATGCAAGTACATACCGAGAATAAGATATACCTAGAATAAATGTCGACGGTTGCGTTGGTTACCATTGTGTGAACCAATGGGATACATGTCGCTATGGCGGTTATTCCAAGAATATCTTATACTGCATAAAAGTGTAATTGTAGAATTGGCCCTAAATGTTATTTCTCACACTGTATATTTAGTAATCTGCAGTGTCAAGTCAATTACCCGGTGTCTCAGAAGGACCTGATTTGACCCAGTAGTAGGTACGGGGACACTAGCGTGGGAAAATTGTGTGGTCTAGGGCATTGCGGCAGATGGTCCAGGGGAATTTGGGTGGTTGGTCCATCATCTTAGATACTGCGCCCATTTCGGATAATGGACCATCTTGGATGCTGGAACCGTCACTTTGGCGTCATCGGTGATCGCTGGATTTTTTTAATTAACAATGGGGTTCAAACCCACGATGCCTGAAGTAGAAGGCTAACGCGTCACCATTTGAGCTACGGAAGCTTTCCCAATTGTCTACACCTTTTCCACTTTTATTCGAGAAACTATCAAGTTAATTTGAGAAAGTATCAATTGTATTTGAGAATAGTAGAATGTATTTGAGAAAACAACAAATGTAGTTCAGAATAGTGATTTGTATTTGAGAAGGTATCAAATGAATTTGAGAGTAGTAATAAATTGTATCCAAGAAATGGTAAAATGCATTTGAGAATCAATTGAAAATGAGAAAAACAAAATCACATGTATAACATAGCCTGATGCTGTTGCGGGACTACATACAGTAGCGGAATTATAAAAATTTGATTTTTATTATAATTCATTAGGAATAATATTACATTCTGAAATACAATAAAATTAAATGATACTTTCTCAAATACAATTGACTGTTCTCAAATACATTTGATGTTTTCTCAAATCCAACTGACTATTCTCATCTACTTTGACGTTTTCTCAAATACAAGTAACAATTCTCAAATACAATTTACAACTTCTCGAATAAAAGTGGAAAAGGTGTAGTTAAAGGTTGAAGAGAGAACCAAAACAGTGTACTTTAAACTTTAGCAATTTTGCAACTGTGCAAAATTGCATTTATTATATAAACTATAAATAGAATCGATGAATCGCGAATTGTTCGTAATTACTTCACGTTTCTATATATGGTGTACTCTTCCTAGCCAGAAAACTTGGTTTTCACGTACACCAATTAAAAACAAGTACAAATTGTGCACAACCGTTGTGCAGGTAAAGCGCATTTTTTTTTGCTTTTATTCCAAGTGGCTATGTATCAAATTTTATTTAAATGGCCAATGGTACCATGAAGGAAAGAACTAGTTCCACCCCCCCCCTTCCCCCTCCATCCCATACTTTGATAATAGAGCAGAAAGAAGGGCAGTAGTTTGTAGAAAACTGTTCCTTGCGTTGAGACCTTTAATTCGAATACAATGAGATAAAATTAATTTTTAACCTCCCCCCCCCTTCAGGCCCCATCGCTCACTGTTCTCGAAAAAGAGCCGCACGGGAAAGTTTTAGATTGTACAAACCAATTTATTTCGATGAGACCTTTCATTAGAATACCATGAAGGGTAGAACATGTGTTTTCCCCCCCCCCCCCATTTTCGAAAGTTTCACATGGCACCACTAACGGCATGCGTATGCAAAATCTGAAACCAATTGGTTGTCGTTTGTAAAAGTTATGCACGTTTTACTTTCAAAAACAACATCTCAGAAAATAATTGGTGGGGGGCCCCCCTTTTAGACAGCGAAAAGACTGCAAAAAATTCCAGGACTCTAGGACCATTCCCCTAGAAGTAGTTCAAAATGGTAGAAGTGGGTTCGGACGGACGGACGGACGGACAAAACGCAAACAATAGCACATTTTTTGAATTCTTAAAAAATGCGCTAAAAAAATGAAAAGTATTCTAAACCTATACCAAATTACATATGAACATTTCTACGAGTATGTTATATGCTATAAATAGACTTACGCGCTATTATGAAACGTGCAAAAATGACAGTTTTAAAAATATTAATAAATAATAAAATTATTGAAAGGATAAATTACTAAACATGTTATACAGAGTTTCCGAAAAAAAGCTGAACCCGGTACATTACCATTCCTCGCCATTCTAAGTCTAAAAATTGGTTCCGGTCAAAGTCCAAAAATTGTGGGCCAAAGTCCAAAGATTAGTTATCGGTCAAAGTCCAAAGTCTGTAGCTCAAAAAGACGTGGTAGTGCACCGCTACACATACTGAATCTGAAGTTTCT